GGCCTTTGCGGTTCCGGCGAAGCACTAATGGCGACCATTAGTCTCTTTCAGAGGCATTTCCTCAATTTCGAATAACCTCTCAATAAGCGATTATCAATGTTTAGATAATAAAAATAATTAGTTAACACAAACCTATTATTAAACAGATACTCTATATTCTTTGTTTGTTTTCAATTCGTAAGCTAATGGCAAAAAGTAATTGTTATAAAATTATGTTCGTTATGGGGGTATTTGATATGGCAGGACTTTTATTTGTTGGATTTTTAACCGGATATTTGGGATATTTCGGATATGTTTTTTGTTCTTCTCCAAAATTAATTTATTTTGCTGGAGCATATGGATGTTGTATGTGTTTTTAATGATTTAATGATATTTAATTATTAGTTTGCTGGTCTACTGAATCTATAACGGCCGGAATTTTAGCCTTGAATCGTAATGTTGAAATATGTGACTTCGACTTGTCTAGAAAACTTTTTAGTGGTAGGAAAATAAATAGCAATATTACTCTGTCCCTAAAAAATTAGAAAAAAGGACGTTATGAAACATCATCTTTCAAATATGTAATTTGCCATAAAACGAGAAAAAAATAAGAAAAATAGAAAGGGAAAAGGGGGCGATTCCAAACTATTTCCAAATACCGTCTTTGCTCTAATTGAATGACAGTCATTCTATTTTTCATATGCCCCAAAAAAGTGTCATTCATTTAGAGATGTCATTCAAATGGATCTGTCATTCTATTTTTCATAGGTCAGAAATACAGATAGGATGAATCGAATATCCCATCTAATATTTCTGAATTCGTAATTTTACCGATTTTTTTGGTTTTCTATAGTTTGGTTTTCGAAATTTTCGGTTTCAGGATTTCAAAATTTTACCGACATTTGGGTTTCGATAGTTTGTGCTATTGAGGAATTTGGGCATGATATAGAGTGATAAGCCATTTAGAGTTATTTTGAAGGATTATATTAGGTTATGATGGACATCAGGAAATTTGTTGGGATTCGGAGGGATATTGAAGTAGTTGGAGAATATCAAGTGATTAAGGAGATATAGTATTTGTAGGACTGTTAATATTTGTAGGACTTAATGGGATATCAGTAATTTGGAGGACATAAATTTCTTTTTTTACAAAATATTAAGATAATTCATATCTAAAAATATCAGAATCCAAATCCATCCATATCTCCAGATATGACTCAGTTCATCTTATATCCCTGATATACTTCAAATCCTCTATATCATTCCAAATCCTTACTTACCCTCTTAATATCTCTTGATCTACGAATCACTAAAACGTCCTCTAATCATTTCAATCTCTCGATATTTTCCCCAAATCCTTTTAATCTCTTGTATATCCCTTTTTCCTCCCAAATCCCCTGATATCCCTCTTAATCCGCTTCATATCCCTCTTAATCCCTTCAAAATATCACATTTATACATACTAAAAAGGAATATTAAACTAAAGGGATAGAGATATAAGAGTTAATAGTTAATATTTAAAAAATGTCATTCAATTAGAGATGTCATTCAATTGGAGGCTGTCATTCTATTTTTCATATACCCCTAAAAATGTCATTCAATTAGAGATGTCATTCAATAAGAGATGTCATTTAATTAGAGCAAATACGTTATGTATATTTAAAATAAGATATTTAAATTAATTAAATAAAATTAAAAATATAAAAGTGCAAAAGGAAAAAATATAAAAAATGGACTTTGTATTTTTCTAATAAAATACAAAGAAGATTTGTTAAATCTGTTCTGTTTTTAACAAAGATAAAAGATAAAAAAGTAATTACCGTATTTCCTCTATTAGAATGACAGTCTCAAGTTGAATGCCAGTCTTTAATATAATGCCACTTTGGAAGGTGATTGAAAAATATGTAGAATGCCAGTCACTTTTTGAATGACACCTTTTTTAATAACGAAAATTTTCCAACTTTAAGAAATATTTGATCTAAAGCTATTTCTATTGATTTTTCCTTATTTTCTTGCCATTTTTCAAAACTAAAGTTCGTCAAAATTGCAAATTCGAGATCCCGTGACGGGATTTTCTAGAAATGTAAATATCGGACCCGTTGAGAGTTAAGGATTTTTACTACATAAATATAGGGAACTTAAGTGAAATCACGGATATCGTGTTTGAACTAGAGTTCAGCGGGATCGGGATCTCGGTCGGGATCGGGCGGGATTATCCCGGGTTTTTCGAATCCCGATCCCGATTTTTTAATCCCGGTCCCGATTCGGGATCTTTCTGGCCAATCCCGATCCCGAGTCGGGATTGGCCAGAAATCCCGATCCCGAGTCAGGATCCGGGATCGGGACCACCATTCCAAAATCCCGGTCCCGGGTTTTTCTCTGAATCCCGATACCGCTGTTACTCTAGTTTGAACTATTAAGAAGAATTCAATGATATTGGGAGATATGTGGCGATTAAAAAGAGATATAAGTGGAAAAAGAGTATTGTGGACCATATCCTCTTAATCACCGAATCTCGCCTTTTTCAATAATAAAAATCACTTATTTGCCCTAAACAAGCTCTCTTAATATGTCACTTGAGGCAATTGAATTTGCCAGAATGGCGGTACGACAATTGAGGATACGCACTTAAGGATATGACAAATGAGGACGACATTTGAGGACGACAATTGAGGATCTGACATATGAGGACGACAAATGAGGACGACATATGAGGATTTGACAAATGAGGATAAAAATGAAAAATAAAAAAGACTTGAAAGATCCATAAAACTCGCAAGACCCCCACTTGGAAGACCAATAATGAAGAATTCTTCTCTTTCCAGCGCCACAGGCGAACATTTTTGAATTTCAAAAGGTCAAGGATCACCGTTTTTTATTATTATTTTAATCCTCAATTGTCGTCCTCATTTGGCATATCCTCATATGTCGTCCTCATTTGTCGTCCTCATATGTCAGATCCTCAATTGTCGTTCTCATTTGTCATATCCTCAAGTGCGTATCCTCAATTGTCGCAACACCGCCAGAATAAATTTTTTTTTCAAATTTCAAAATTTAACATCGAAAAATAGAAAATAAATTCTAATAGAGAAAATACAGTAATTCATATTTGCCACAATTTTCTTAATTTATCATTCTTTGAGTCGTATCTCTTCTTCTGAATTGGCTAGAAAAATGTTTGGGGGTTGGAAAATAATTTTATTTAAGAAATTTCTGAATTTTTTCCTTTATTTTGATTAAAAGGTAAAAAATTGCTTTTTTGGCTTGGCATTCCAATAATATACGGGCTATCTATAATCCTTTGGTCAGAACCAGTAATATTCAGCAGCATTTACTTTAGCTGGTTCCTCAATCCACATATTGGATATATTGATGATGTTAATCAAGTATTTGTTTTTCATTATTTATTCAACATTCAGAAGTTCTTGGGTTTAGTTGAAATTAATAATAGTAAAATATTAAATTCAATCCAAGAAGTTTTAACAAATTAAATTACAATAATAGTGAAAGGGAATGATGGTAAATGATTACGTATGAAAATTCTGAAAAGACATAATTCATGCTAAAATTATATAATTTATTTTAAAGGAATATAAAAGTATTCTTCTTCCAATCCACAATTTATCGGTTATACTATTTTTGTTAATCAATTACTCAACATTTTATGTAATTTTTGTAATAAAATCCAAACATGGAGGATTCCAATCTAATCAACAAAGCTACTCAGAAATAATGGTTTTTAAATTAAACATTTTTTAAACACAAATTTTTTAGATTTTTTTACAAATTTTTGTAATTAGCTTATTTAATACTATTGGGGCTTCTGTTTATGTTTTCATGCAATATATCTATGTTAATGAAGTTATTATTATAATTGGTCAAATTTGTTCGATAAACTTATACGGTGATAAATGTTAATAAAAAATTTTTTCAAGAGCGTATAGTTACAAACGACTTGCCTACAAAATTCTTCGGTCGCATAGGGCAAATTTTTCATTTTTACTACAAAATTTTCAATTTTTTTGACCTTTATTTTCGATGAACTTATATTTTTCGCTCTTCTCTTGTTCTTCAAGATCAAGATCAATACAAAAAAACACAAGAAATATCTTGATTCATAACCCAAAAACAAGAGTTGTCTTGTTGTCTTACTAAGAGTTGTCTTACTAAGGAGACAAAAATACTAATTTAAAAATTATGTCAGGAATACCTCCAGTTATTTACTTAACAATGAACATGACAATTCGACAAGATTGTTTTATAACATTAAAAAAGTGTGTTAATGCTACCAAGCAAGTCTACAAAAATCTACACTCAAATGCTATTCAACCTTTCATTCATCAAATAAATTTTGTAAGAGAAAATAATCGAGTAACTGTATTAAATCAACAAATGTATCAAAATTGCTAATACAAGTGAATTTGCTGATACTAACTAAAAACATTCGATTTTCACTCACAACATAATGTATTTTCTTTAAAATAGCCCATGAGGTTGTTTTGTTCGATCAACCTCTAGAGGTGGGCTATTTTATAGGTTGCTAATGGCCTATTATTTCGATGCAAAAATCATAGTCTCTTGGCTTTGCTGGGCATTTTCACGCGATGTTTATTCTAAAACATCATAATGCTAGCCCCTAATTTCACAAATGCGACCCTCTAAAAAATCAGCCGAATGTTTTTCAGGGGAATTTTTTATATCACCGTATTAAACAGAAAAAAAGATATATATACCGGAAAAGATATATATACGCGCAGGTATTCGGTATTTTTTCAAAATTTTATTGTTATCAACAAACTTTTACAACGAACACGGAATACAAGGAATTATTAAATATAGTTATAAATTGCAAGACATTCATAATGGATTTACACTCAAAAGGGTCAGAAGGCTCCTTGCTTGATATATACTCTTTTATGGAAAAATCATCTTCTTTAAACTTATCGAAATCATTTTTTAATTTTACCGCATTAAATTCTCTGAAAATTATTTTTAATTTATCAAAAATAGAAAGCGAAGAAATGGATAAAGCTATTATTGAAGTAATTTACAATCAGCATTTGGAAAATAAAAAGAAATTGAGAAAAGAATATAAAAATGTAATTGTGGAGGGTGATGGTCCTGTTGGTTTATATGCTGCTTTCGAACTTTTTATGGGTATTTTTAATAATTTTTACTGGTCGTGGGAGTCTGAATTGCCTAGTCTGTATTCTGAATATTAGAGCTACTGAATGCATTTTGCGATCTATTGTGCCTGATATTATATCTGAATCAAGTTTTCGTTCCTGTGAAATAAATGAGCCTGTAACACTGATCTTTTATAAAGTGTCAATAAAATTAATTTTTAGAAGGAATGAATGTAACTGTTGTTGATAGTCATTATAACTATGAAATGAAATTTACCTTGATTCAGAATGGATGCCAACATTTTGTGTCATTTTGGGTTTTTGTCATCATTTTTTCTTTAAAATAATTTTATTACATTTTTTTCCATAACTTCTTGACAAAAATAATTTTGTAAATAAATTGTTTATTTCAAAATAAAGAATTTTTTTTTCTTGTTTATCCTTTATTGTTTGTATATTATTGCTACTACTTGCTTCTCCTTTTTCTTTACTTAATATAATTATCACCTTCTTTTTGACTCCACTTATGCATTCAAGTACATGATAAAAAATTACTTCAAACCATCTTTCTTTTAATTCAACAATAAAATTATCATATTTTTCCAACAACTTTTCTTGTTCTTCTTCTATGTTTAATCGCCCATTTTCAAATAGGTAAGTTATCATTTTTATTTTATATTCTCAATCTTTTTTCAATAATTGTTTCTGTTTGTGTTTTGTCTCTCATAATCCTTTCCGCATATTTTTATTATGTTCATATTCTATTCTTTTTGAATTTCCTTTGTATCTTCTTACTCCCAATTCTAGTTATCTTCTCTCATTCAATTCTCTATGTCCTATCCGTCTTAATATTTAATCAACTTCATTATTATGTTTATATTTTACTTCGTTAATAATTGTTTCATACCATCTTTTCTTAATTTCAGCTTCATTCATCTATTCCAATATTTCCCTTTCATTTTTAACTTCTTCAATCTATTCAACAATTGCCGTAGGTATCTTTGATTCAATTTGTATTTTTGTCTCAGTCTCAGATATTTGGACAGATATATTTTCGTCATTCTTGGAATAATAATTAAACGAAATTTGTCCATCTGAAGTTGTCTTATAAATTTTGCATGTTCTAGTCAAAGGAATTGTCCAAATCTGTTTCTGATTCTTGAGATATTTTTCCTTAGTTTTTCCTTAGTTTTTAAAATTTATTTTTTCTCTCTAAACAAAATTTTATATATTTAGCCTGTTTACAGGCTATATTTACCAATTTAAAAAATTGATTAAGACAGGCGACACAAGACAAGGTAATTCATTAAAAATCATAAGACTTTAAAGCTTATGACTGTATTCTCGCTTTCACGTGTTTGCGCTTTCAAAATCTTGCCCTCTTTGACTTTGCGATTTCATAACATTCTATTTCTAGACGACTGAAACTTATTAACTAAAAACAAGGATGTACTATTACATCTTTTTAAGATTTAGAAGGATATCGATAAGATGAAGTTAATTGAAGTCTTGATTCAAAATATGTTTTCCTGCTCGAGTTGTTGACGTAATTTTCTCCTTTTCACTTATTTTTTTAAATAATCCTCATCAAAAACCACAAAATAAGGAAAGATCCGCAAATACGTACATATAATGATGTGCTTACCTAAAAAGCATCTCGAATCTTGCTGAAGAAAATAGCATTTAGAATATGGAGACGCATTTTGTCTCTACTTCTTTTGAATGCTATTTTCTTCCGCAAAACGCTTTTCATGTAAGCACAGCAAAAATTCAAAATTTTACTAAAATAGAAATTTTCCTGTGACAAATCATTGGGTTACATTGGGTTAACCACAGCAACACTCATGAGAGACTTTTGATTAATAAAAGTATATCACTAAAAATTTTAAATATTTCTTTATTTATTCAATAATGTTTCTATCAAAAAAATTTTATTTTGTTTTTTTAAAAATAATTTTTAATTTAGTTTTTAAATTTTATTTTATTTTTTTCTCTCTAACCAAAATTTTACATCTAGCCTATTTACAGGCTATGATAGGTAAGATTTTATTTGCACTTAAAAATTGATTAAGTCAGCGGACACAAGACACGGTAATTCATTAACAAATCACAAGACATCGAAGCTTATGACTTTTATTCTTGTTTAAAGTAATTCACGTGAATAGTTTTTTAAAGTCTGGGCGGCATTGCTCTTTGACTTCTTAAAATTTTATTTGTTAAGGTCTAAAAACAAATTTTAGGATTTAAAAAATATCGGCTGTACATAGTATAGTATACCGGTTGAAAGGTTTTGATATATGGCAAATACCATTCGATTCGTCTCCACGAGCTCGAGGAGCTCTTTCGAATGAGATATCATTCAAAAAATCGAATTTTTCAGCCCAGAATTATGCTTACTCCCCCTATGGTTTTTCGATTTTCGGGGACCTATATCTCGGTCCACAGGCATCTCCGGAAAAAAGAGTGGTACCATTCGACTCAGCTCGTCGAGACGAATGAATGGTATGGGTCTTATATCGTAACCTTTCCACTGGTATACTATATTATATCCAAAATAGCAATAGTATAATGGATTAAAGAAATTTCTTCAAAAATTTTTGGAAAGCCCAAATAGATTTCTTCAAAAATAATGACCGTCATTAGGCGGTGTAAGGCCGCTGAAGAGGCCAAAAATGCGGGAGCGGAAGAGTATAAAAAGCGGGATTCTGCGGAAGTCGTAACGCGAAGGCGGAAGAAAATCATCTCTGATCTACACTACATATTTTGCCTATTTTTCGTTTTTTCATTTTACTTCCTAAAAGTTTAATAATTAAAATTTTCCTAATTTTCAGAAAATTTAAAACTTTCCTAAAACTGAAATTTCTTGTGACAAATAATAAGGTTAAGAAATCTTTTATCTAGCTATTGTTTTTGTAACAGAATGATACAAAAGTTTAAATGGACTTTTTTAAAACACTATATAATTTTTTTTAATCATTCGCACGCTAATGATTGGCAGTGAAGGCGAGGTTACTCTCCTCATTGCCCTTTTCCATCGGCAAAAATTATTATTGCATTTGCCAATCGAGCAATTAAAACAACTTTATTGACATCCTTCTTATTGCCTTTCCTTCCCCTTGCCTTCCTTCCCAGCCTGATTGACGAAATCGGGATGGAAGGGCGGGGAGGGGGGGGATGGGGCAGGGTAAAATTTCATGACACTCTACAGACTCCTCCTCTTTACTACAGACTCATCGTCTTTACTAACGCATGCCCTCATCTCCCCATTCCCATTAGTGCCAATATAAGCAAATCTATTCTAGCCAAACTCAATCATTTTGTTTAAAAAACTTCAAAAACAACCTCTCCCCCAAAATTCTTTAAAAATTAAAAAATTCTTCTACCTTTAAAGAATTCAAAAAAAGAAATGAGAGGCAAAGCAAAAATGCTTCTTTTGCCTTTCAATCTTTTTTGGATTGCTTTAATCCTGACTTCATTTTTTGATAAAAATGTTGCTTATAATGAGGATAGGTTGATGGCAACAATACAACAAAATCTTATTTATGCATTGTTTCCAGGCAATGAATTCCCTCAGACTCGTTACAAATTCAATGGAGGTGCAATATTTATTATATAGCTATGTGGGGACGGGATCTTCGATTGAGTTTAGAAAATTTTCTTTGGATGGTGGTTCATGTTGAAAGACGAGGGTTTTTGTAAACCCGTTCTTTGTAATCCTTCCATTCTTGTGAATACTAGCAACAGATTTACAAAATTTTAAATATCGAGTAAATATATTAGGTAACATAACATATTTCTTAAACAAAAAATTAAAAGTTTCTGTTTATTCATAATATTCCTTTAACTAATTTGTAAAATTTTTATAGGCGTGGGCTTTGAAAATTGGCGCTTCAATCAGTTAGTTAACATTGCCGAGATAGATCAAAACCTTGGAATGCCTCGAGGGAGTACACAATCGAATGATGTGCTTATGTATGATGAATGGATTTACCTTCAAAATACAGGAAATTCTGGAGCATTTAATGGCGTATTTGATATGGCTGTGGCAAATCTTTCAAATAAAGTTGAATTATTTACTTCAAATAATGTCAACTTCAACTCCTGTAATGCTAATAATGTTGAAAATGAATTGAAGGAATATGATAGAATTCAAAAAGAAACAAGAGAAGCATTAAGAGAAAGTCCTGGAGAAAGAGAAACAATACTTTCGGAAAGAAAAGGATTGCTTTCGAATCTTTGTCGATGTTTTACCCGTTCAAGATCTTCTCATCAACCTTCTCACGCCGAAACTTCCAACTCAGCCAGAAAAAACCGTTGTGAAGTACTAATCGACTTAATTATTCGCTGTAAAGTGTTTATTAGAGATTTACATTCTGAAGGGGCAGAAGGCTCTTTGATTGATATATTCTCTTTTATGAATAGTCATCCACGACTTCGACATCTTATAAAAATTTTAAATTTGTCTACAGTTCAAAGTCGAGGGTTAGATAAAGCTATAAATGAGAGTATTTACCAAGAGCATTTGGAGAATAAAATGAGAAAAGAATATGAAAATGCAATTGTGCAGGGGGCTGGTCCAGTTGGTTTATACGCTACTTACAAACTTTTTATTGGTAAGGCAATTTTTAAGTTTTGCTTAGGCAAAACTTTGGCTAGTAAACATTGAATTGAAAATTATATATTATATTTGGTCTCTGATTTTACATGATCGAGACCATGTCCGGTTTACAGGATCGAGTTCATCACTTTGACAAATCAAGTTATATCATAACTTGTCAATCATTTGAATCAGCTTGTCAAGATCTTCGAATAAGCTATTATTTGTTTAATCGAATTTTTAGCCCAAAAAATGAGCTTGGTCCACACTTATATTTTTCAATTTTCGCTGGTCTGTATCTCGGCACAAAGATCGGGAGTGATTTTGGTGTCATTCGACACAGCTCGACGAGTTCTATAGCCAAAGATTGACTGACCATTTTTAATACTTTTATTGTATACGATATTCATGCTGTGGAAATATTGTGGATGGGAGACACAGAGTCTTACTGATCACACAGAGTCTTACTGATCACACAGAGGCTTCTAATTTCTGCCCGCACACAGCTCAGGCGATACTCACAGGGTCTTCTCCTTATTTCTCTAGACAGTTAAATTATTTCAGATCATCACAGCATTTGACGG